CTGATGCAGGATGACCTGATGAGCTATTATCACAGGGTGTGGGAGGAGGGCGAGATGGGGGAGATGGTGGGGCAACGAGTGCTAATACTTCTCTACAAAACAGGGGACAAAATGAATATTCAAAAATGATTTTTAAACCACTGGCTAACAGAATGGCACTTGCACTGGAACAAATCATTCATTCATCACGAACAGGTTTTCTCAAAGGGCGCTGTATTCATGACAACATCCTATTAGTTAAAGAGTTGCTGAGGCTTGCACGTCAATCTAAATGCAACGTCGCCTTCATCTTCATTGACTTCAAGAACGTTGACTGGCATTTTCTGGACAAATGCTTAGCCAAAATGAATTTTGGAGAGAACTTTCGACTGCCGCCTGGCTCCGGAATTTCCCCTACAGTGATCGGTGCACCAGGGGGACCCCATGGCTCCCTACTTATTTGTGGTAATGATTGAGGCATTGGCAGCAAATTTGTGGGCCAACAAGGACATCTGCAGAATTCGAGCCTACGTCATCCCTTAGAGAGCAATGTAGGTGTGCTCCCTGTTTGTAGATGACCTCACACTAATGGTGGAGGCTTCCCAGGCGAACATGGAAGAAATTGAAAAACTGATGGACTGCTTCTGGACCCTGTTTGACATGTCGTTCAGCCGGGGGAGCAAGACGCTAGGATGGTGGATGCATCGTGATGGTGGGAGACCACCGGAAAAGCCGGGGGTCACCTGGCTCCCACTGGAAACCCCTATCAGGGTCTTCGGATCCAGCTCTTGGCCGCAGGCAGATCTGGCAGTAATGATAGGTGGATAATGGATCCCGCCCTCCACAAGTTGGAAGCTTGGAAGGATAACCACACTTCACTGTTTGGTAGGGCTCTGGTGATAAATAATGTGGTCCTTCGATCACTCTGGTGCGGGTCAACCATCTGGCCTTTTATCCCCGAAAGCCTCCACGTCTCTAAGACAGCAAGTAGCCCAACACGGCCTCTATCAGCGCAGCAAGCAGAACCAAGGACTTGCGGCAACGCATGCGTGTACAAGTCCCAGCGGGTTGGCATGGTGACCGTGACCCGAGTGCTTCGTCCAGGACCCTTCAGAGGTTTCGCCGGTCTCCCACCAGCTTGCTGCCCAGGAGGAATGTCTGCTCTCAAGACAATGCAATGCAGTTCCACCTCGGCTTAAATTGCCACGTCAGCAAGCTCTGATCATCCAGTGTGCATCCCTATGTTGCGACATAGCCTTCCTGGCGCGCCCACACGACCCAGGGCCGCCTCACACCAACGCACAAGTGTTATCACTGCCCCATTACTATCCGGCAAAGCACCACACAGCTATTGCGAAGGCCGCCAGCAGAGCGGTTTGAACCAGCTCTGATACCAAATTGCAAGGAAAATGAGCAATAGCGAAATGACAGATTCCAGATTGCAAAATCACATTGAAAACCAGGAAGCCCCACACTGTTCAGAAAGCATAATTGCACCGATATTCACCACTGGAACCAAAACACTGAATCTGAGTGTCAATGAGAACATACTCTCGCCATCACCAACATAAGTATCCAGAGCCCCTCTCCTACTTTCCGCTCAGCGCCCCCTATCGCGCAGCTACTACCGGCCTACGAATTGACAATGCAACTGTTGACGTCAGCAGCGGAACCGAAGTACATGAGGATGTAGACCCTTGTAAACTATCACCAAGACCAGGTACGTGCCCTCACATCATCATCCTCATCTCTCTCTCTCTCTCTCTCTCCCCCTCATCTTCTCTATCCACGTCTCCTTCCCATACACAGACCACCACCACCTGCTGACCATACAAGCTCGAAGCCCGACTATGAAGGGCTGGGCTATGGCGCTGCCCTCAGCAGCGCCCTGCACCTCGCGACGCCCGCATGCGGCCACACGCTTGCACTAGCGCAGATAGCAGCCTACGAGCTGATGCTCCAGCAGCGCTGCGCCCGCAAATGCCAAGTGCCTGAATGTTGACCCTGGCGCCCGTCCCTCTCCTATATGGAAAGTGGAGGGCACTTTACCGTGCCCCGTCACGTGAGACCGAGTTTCCAGTAGCTTCAGTCTTGGCCAAAGTGTCTGCTCCCAAACCCGTTCGGACAGTGGCCTGAAACCGAATTGGTTAGGCATGCCCAACCACCCAGGCACGAACGTGCGATGTCCCCTGCTTTGGCCACGTTGAGAATGGCCTGGAAGGCTCACGAATCTTTCCCATTCTCACGTGCAGGGAAGATGTAACCAACTGGCACGCGGCAACTGTCTGGCGCCAACCAAGATTTGCAAAAATTGACGAATTCAGGGGCCTGCCTTCATTTAGGGCTGGCACGTGCCTGATGCAGGGGCTTATGCGGTTATGCTGAGGGATCAAACCCTCGCATAAGGGACACTGGACCCATTTTTCAGCAGGTGCTGCTTCCCACCAATAGATTGGAGCCGCCCACGGCCTACCACAGGGGACTGCTCTTATCAGCCCCTGGGGTATGGCTTGGGGACGTCTTTTTTTTTTTTTTAAGGGATGGCAAGGGAGGAGGGTAGGTGAATGAGTGAGTGAGCTGGGAAGGGAAGAGAAGTGAGGAGTAGGCAGATGAGTGACTGAGCGAGTGACTGAGTGCCTGAATTATGGGACAAAGGAGCATACAAAGGGAGTAATGAATAAAAGGGGGAACCGCACAAGCAAGCAGGCAAACAAATAAACACACAAGAAACAGACATGCAAGGAGAAATGCACATCACTGAGCCCATGATAAACTCTTGTCATGTGTTGATGCATTCCAGAGCTTCCAGCGAATCCAACTGGGTATTTGATAGTGCAGCCAGATGGTGGCTTGAATCAGCAGCGGATTGGTGTAAGTGCTCACTTTTCGTTACTCCTTTTGGTAATCATGTGTGTGTGTGTGTGTGTGTNCTCCTTTTGGTAATCATGTGTGTGTGTGTGTGTGTGTGTGTGTGTGTGTGTGTGTGTGTGTGTGTGTGTGTGTGTGTGTGTGTGTTGTTCACTATATACAACTCGATACAGAAAAGCATGACTGTGCAAGACGGTTTCTGGCAGCCAGATGGTGGCTTGAATCAGCAGCGGATTGGTGTAAGTGCTCACTTTTCATTACTTTCACCGACTAATTAGGAGGGTGAACCTCGACAGTCTGCCCAGGATGCTATGGACTGATGGATAAGGACTCACCATGCCACCCAGAGTTAGCAATAGCCCTGAGAAAAGTGGTCGACTTTACTCACACCAACCCCGCAATCCCAGGAGACTGTTGGTCCAAACCCCTGACAAGAATGGCAGTAAGTCTGAGAAACTAATCTGGCACAGCATGTGTGTGTGTGTGTGTGTGTGCGTGTGTGTGTGTGTGTGTGAAATGGTTTCACCCAGTAGACCCGACATTTGCAGACACAGAGATTTGATCCCTAGACCTGTGCCCAAACCCTGTACATTGACCTTGTGTGCTGAGTGAGATTCGATCCCTAGGCCTACCCTGTACCTTTTACATTGACCCTGTGCGCTGAGTGAGATTCGATCCCTAGACCTACCCTTTACCCTGTACATAGGCCCAGCGATGTGTGTAAGACTCGATCCCTAGGTCTGTAGATTAGGAGTTAGGTCTGTTACCGTTAGGCTTAGGAAGGTCTGCTCTAGAAGTCTCTATCTGAGTCTATTAAGGCCTAGAGTCTGTTTGTAAGTCTGTAGGGTCTAGAAGGTCGTAGGTCCCTGTAGGCCAGTCCAGTCAGCAAGTACCAGGGGTAGGGGCTGCACGTGGGGAAGGTTCTGGACCACGCTGTGGGTTCCACACGTTTTGGCCAGAAGGCCAAACGTCTGGAAGCTTCCCTGGGTCACACGTTTTGGCCCAGGCCCACACCTTTTGAGGCAGGCCCGGGTACCTCCAAAGAGGTATAAAATAAAGAGGCAGCATCCAGCCATTCATTCATTCGCCTGTGTGCCATGCGGAAGAGCTGCCTTGGTATCTTGTGCGTGGACTGCAGGTGCCCGGAGAAGAAGTGGGCTGTGAAGAAGACAGC